CCGAATATGATGGTAATACTGACCGAATATGATTGTAATGCAGACCGAAAATGATTGTAATACCAACCGAATATGATTGTAATACTGACTGAATATGATTGTAATACTGACCGAATATGATGGTACAACGTATAATTCATTATAGGTGGCCTATACTATTGTTATAGTATAGACCCCCTCCAAACAACATATAATTCATTATAGGTGGCCTATAATATTGTTATATGTTATAGTACAGACCCCCTTCAAACAACATATAATTCATTATAGGTGGACTATAATATTGTTATAGTACAGCCCCCCTCCAAACAACATATAATTCATTATAGGTGGCCTATACTATTGTTATAGTACAGACCCCCTTCAAACAACATATAATTCATTATAGGTGGACTATAATATTGTTATAATACAGACCCCCTCCAAACAACATATAATTCATTATAGGTGGACTATAATATTGTTATAATACAGGCCCCCTCCAAACAACATATAATTCATTACATGTAGCCTATAATATTGTTATAGTACAGACCCCCTCACTATAATATTGTTATAATACAGACCCCCTCCAAACAACATATAATTCTTTATAGGTGGCTAATGATATTGTTATAGTCCTGACCCCCTCCAAACAACATATAATTCATTATAGGAGGCCTATAATATTGTTATAGTACAGACCCCCTCCAAACAACATATAATTCTTTATAGGTGGCTAATGATATTGTTATAGTCCAGACCCCCTCCAAACAACATATAATTCATTATATGTAGCCTATAATATTGTTATAGTACAGACCCCTTCCAAACAACATATAATTCATTATAGGTGGCCTATAATATTGTTATTGTACAGACCCCCTCCAAACAACATATAATTCTTTATAGGTGGCTAATGATATTGTTATAGTCCTGACCCCCTCCAAACAACATATAATTCATTATATGTTGTTTGGAAGGGGTCTGTACTATACAATATTATAGGCTACATATAATGAATTATATGTTGTTTGGAGGGGTCTGTACTATAACAATAGTATAGGCCACCTATAATGAATTATATGTTGTTTGGAGGGGGTTTGGACTATAACAATATCATTAGCCACCTATAAAGAATTATATGTTGTTTGGAGGGGGTCTGTACTATAACAATATTATTAGCCACCTATAATGAATTATATGTTGTGTGGAGGGGGTCTGTACTATAACAATAGTATAGGCCACCTATAATGAATTATATGTTGTTTGGGGGGGGTCTGTACTATAACAATATTATAGGCCACCTATAATTCATTATAGGTGGCCTATAATATTGTTATAGTACAGACCCCCTCCAAACAACATATAATTCATTATAGGTGGCTAATAATATTGTTATAGTACAGACCCCCTCTAAACAACTTACATTTGATTGTTGGTGGCCTGAAATGTTTAATATACATTACAGAGTAGTAGAGGACACAGTTTGATCTTAACCATTAAGATATGTAAAAGCAATATATCTGTTTTGACACATATTCTTAAGAATTTCTGATCGAAAGAGAAATAGCTCATCGTCATTCACCCATAATACACCTGATAATCTTACTATCGTTAATATTTACTCCTTTGTGTGAATTTTTTTCTGTAATATAGATATAAAATTTACATTGAAACGTTGATATAAACATGTCGTGCCTGTCAGATATGTTGACTTTTACGTTTTTTGTTTTTTAAATCCATTTATTAATATCATAAGAAATATGATACTTAACACATGTTGAAAAGGCCTAAAAAATACATGTGTTTTATCCTGCCTACATGAAATATAAGTTATTAAGTACTTACCTTACACATTTGTATGTTGTATTTATACAATTTATAAAGGCGTAACAACTGGTAGTGGTATGGAAGTCTTTTGCTGTATCAGACTTTACTAAACCTTACCAGACTTTACTAGACCTTACTAGACTTTACTAAACCTTAGCAGACTTTACTAAACCTTAGCAGACCTAACTAAACCTTACCAGACTTAACTAAACCTTACCAGACTTAACTAAACCTTACCAGACTTGACTAAACCCTAGAAGACTTTAGTAAACCTTACCAGACTTTACTTATCCTTACTAGTCTTTAATAAACCTTATCCGATTTTACTAAACCTTATCAGACTTTACTAAACCTGATCAGACTTTACTAAACCATATCAGACTTAAAAAAACCTTATCAGACTTTACTAAACCTAATCAGACTTTACTAAACCATAACAGACTTAACTTAATCTTACTAGACTTAACTTATCCTTTACTAGACTTTACTAAACCTTAGCAGACTAAAATGAACCTTGGAAGACTAAAATAAACCTTATAAGACTTTAATGAACTTTACCAGACTTTACTAAACCTTAGCAGACTTTATTTAATCTAATCAGACTTAAATAAATTTTACCAGACTTTACTAAACCTAATCAGACTTAGCTTAACCTTATCAGACTTTACTAAACCTTATCAGACTTTACTAAACCTTATCAGACTTTACTAAACCTTAGCAGACTTTAATGAACTTTACCAGACTTAAATAAACCTTAGCAGACTTTACTAAACCATAGCAGACTTTACTAAACCTTACTAGACTTTACCTATCCTTACCAGACATAACAAGTTACCTAATTAGACTTTTCATAACCTAACTAAACTTTTCATAACCTAACTGAACTTAACTAAACATAACCAGATATATTCTCACCTGGAACACATTTTTTTAGCCTTAACACTTGATAACCTGTTTTCACAGCTATCAGGTTTCACATTTTCATAAATATTTTCTTCATCTATTCACAACTTACCTATGTAGTAGCTATTATATATGTAAACTATGTAGTGATAACAAGCCAAGAGCATGAAGTCCCCGAGTACTCAGGGTTCCTCCAGCACCACCCCCGCATGCTAACATCGGGTCAACAAGTGACTAATATAAATTCAAATACAATGTCACTTGTTTCATAATTGTTGTAAAAGAAATAAAATTTGTATATGTCAGTGTTATTGTTCAGCGACTGAGTACAATCAACTACAAGCACAATTTATCTGCATGTTAAAATTTACGTTCTATATGCAGTGTTTCATTAAATTACCACACCATCTGTTAATGTGAGACATCTACATGATGGAAAGTTGTTGATGCAGTAAACATCAATCATTAATACTCAGTATATCCTTTGATCATAAAATTCTTCATCATGTTAAAATTTCTGGTTTATCTTTTACAATCCTAATCCATCTACACGTTACAATGTGTGCTGGATAATTGAGGATATAAATGTAGAGGCCGAGTTTGCTGTATGATATTCAATGTATCACAGTAACCCTGGCTGACTGGAGCTGTAGAGAGCTACGACACAGTTACCCTGGCTGACTGGAGCTGTAGAGAGCTACGACACAGTTACCCTGGCTGACTGGAGCTGTAGAGAGCTACGACACAGTTACCCTGGCTGAGTGGAGCTGTAGAGAGCTACAACACAGTTGCCCTGGCTGACTGGAGCTGTAGAGAGCTACGACACAGTTACCCTGGGGGACTGGAGCTGTAGAGCTAAAACACAGTTACCCAGGCTGACTGGAGCTGTAGACCTACGACACAGTTACCCTGGGGGGCTGGAGCTGTAGAGAGCTATGACACAGTTACCCTGGCAGACTGGAGCTGTAGAGAGTTACGACACAGTTACCCTGGGGGACTGGAGCTGTAGATAGCTATGACACAGTTACCCTGGCGGACTGGAGCTGTAGAGCTACGACACAGTTACCCTGGGGGCCTGGAGCTGTAGAGAGCTATGACACAGTTACCCTGGCGGACCGGAGCTGTAGAGAGTTACGACACAGTTACCCTGGGGGACTGGAGCTGTAGAGAGCTATGACACAGTTACCCTGACTGACTGGAGCTGTAGAGAGCTATGACACAGTTACCCTGGCTGATTGGAGCTGTAGAGAGCTACAACACAGATACCCTGGCTGACTGGAGCTGTAGAGAGAGCTACGACACAGTTACCCAGGCTGACTGGAGCTGTAGAGAGCTACGACACAGTTACCCTGACTGACTGGAGCTGTAGAGAGCTACGACACGGTTACCCTGGCTGACTGGAGCTGTAGAGCTACGACACAGTTACCGAGGCTGACTGGAGCTGTAGAGAGCTACGACACAGTTACCCTGGCTGACTGGAGCTGTAGAGAGCTACGACACAGTTACCCTGGCTGACTGGAGCTGTAGAGAGCTACGACACAGTTACCCTGGCTGACTGGAGCTGTAGAGAGCTACGACACAGTTACCCTGGCTGACTGGAGCTGTAGAGAGCTACGACACAGTTACCCAGGCTGACTGATGCTGTAGAGCTACGACACAGTTACCCTGGGGGACTGGAGCTGTAGAGAGCTATGACACAGTTACCCTGGCGGACTGGAGCTGTAGAGAGTTACGACACAGTTACCCTGGGGGACTGGAGCTGTAGAGCTACAACACAGTTACCCAGGCTGACTGGAGCTGTAGAGAGCTACGACACGGTTACCCTGGCTGACTGGAGCTGTAGAGCTACGACACAGTTACCCAGGCTGACTGGAGCTGTAGAGAGCTACGACACAGTTACCCTGGCTGACTGGAGCTGTAGAGAGCTACAACACAGTTACCCTGGCTGACTGGAGCTGTAGAGAGCTACAACAGTTACCCTGGCTGACTGGAGCTGTAGAGAGCTACGACACGGCTACCCAGGCTGACTGGAGCTGTAGAGAGCTACAACACAGTTACCCTGGCTGACTGGCGCTGTAGAGAGCTACGACACGGTTACCTAGGCTGACTGGATCTGTAGAGAGCTACGACACAGTTACCTAGGCTGACTGGAGCTGTAGAGAGCTCCAACACAGTTACCCTGGCTGACTGGAGCTGTAGAGAGCTACGACACGGTTACCTAGGCTGACTGGAGCTGTAGAGAGCTACGACACAGTTACCTAGGCTGACTGGAGCTGTAGAGAGCTACAACACTGTTACCCAGGCTGACTGGAGCTGTAGAGAGCTACGACACAGTTACCCTGGCTGACTGGAGCTGTAGAGAGCTACGACACTCTGTGCCTGGAATTGTTGTCTGTGATAGCTCTGTTAAAACCTGCTCTAGGTGATAGCAGCTCAATTGTTTGCTTGCAGGAGTCTGTACATGTGTATGTTACTGCTAGGATTACCACTGTTACGGCTGGCTGTGTAGTGTGTTGTCTGGCGTTGTCCGTGGCACTGGTGGAATAAGTACAGTTCATACCATGGTGGCATCCTTGTGGCATCATAGTGGCATCATAGTGGAAGTGTTAGTGGCAGTTTGACTGTCAGCTGTGGGATTAGGTGTGCGATATTCTAGGAAATTTGGATTGCATTTTGTTATAAAGCAAACTACAGGTTAGCCTGGAGGCAGTGTTAGGGATTGTGTTGAGAGTGTATTGAGTTGGGATTGTACTTTTGGTTCTGGCTGAGTTACAAGACCAAACAGGTAGATGTGCATTTATCTTTTTACTATTACAGGTAAAATCAATGTTACTGAACATTTGTTCATAATATATATATTTATTTTGAATTTTTCATTTAAAAACTCCCTATCTCCACATTAGTGTGTATTTGGGTGAATATGTACCAGATTAGCATGACTTAATTGCAGTTTTACAATGAATAGTTGCTATATAAAGCTTTATCTGTTAAAATCAGAACTAGTTCCTACCCATCTGTATAGTAAGGAGGTGGAGCTGTAGCCGAGGCCTGGAGCCAGACTTCAGTAACAAGCCCTACACATCTACACAAACAGCTCGGTGTCCTGGTTTCTCTGCTAAACATCATAATTAAATGTACACAGAGATTTTTTTGTGATTTTAACATGTACACTTTGTTCAGACAAAGCTACAGACATTATCAACATAGAACACACTTGTTAGTGGGGGAAGCTCAATGGTATTGCTTACTGTGAAAAATGTACCGGCAAAGAGGAAACAGCATAAACTACCTTAGGGTAACTGGACTGGAACACGGTTTGTCTGCTTATGAAATATTTGTTTTATGCATGAGCACCAGCCGAGTGTATGTATGTACAAACAAAGACCCAATGTTTCAAGTCTAACAAGCTTAATTAATGAAATTGAGGTCCACTTCTGTAATACCTGCTCTGCCTCTTCCATATTTCTAACTTAATATCTAACCCAACCCTTAGAGTATAAAATTGTTTTATACTCAATGCCTACCCATCTCCCAAAGTGATGTTATACTCAATACCTGCCCCCACCCCCACTGATTTTGTATTCAATACCTGCCCCCACCCCCACTGATTTATATTCAATACCTGCCCCCAACCCCACTGATTTTGTATTCAATACCTGCCCCCATTCCCACTGATTTATATTCAATACCTGCCTCCACCCCCACTGATTTTGTATTCAATACCTGCCCCCTCCCCTATACTGATTTTATATTCAAAACCTGCCCCTTCCACCACTGATTTTGTATTCAATACCTGCCCCCATCCCCACCAATTTTATATTCAATACCTGCTCCCACCCCCACTGATTTTATATTCAGTACCTGCCCCCACCCCCACTGATGTAGCACTGAGCCAGCACTGTTTCCCTGTGATGTAGCACTGAGCCAGCACTGTTTCCCTGTGATGTAGCACTGAGCCAGCACTGTTTCCCTGTGATGTAGCACTGAGCCAGCACTGTTTCCCTGTGATGTAGCACTGAGCCAGCACTGTTTCCCTGTGATGTAGCACTGAGCCAGCACTGTTTCCCTGTGATGTAGCACTGAGCCAGCACTGTTTCCCTGTGATGTAGCACTGAGCCAGCACTGTTTCCCTGTGATGTACCACTGAGCCCGCACTATTTCACTGTGATCATGCTGGTCTAATGATTTTTGCAGCATTCAGAAACACCATGTAGAGTGGTTGTTATCACAAGTGTTGTCATCTTTATTCCTAAATATTCCATCTTTTGTAACATTTTTACAAACATAAAAAAGAGAAATTAATATTTTCTACATTTTTGTGACTTTCTGATAATTCTTAGTGGTCACATGGCCATAACACAAATTATATTGAAGATTTTTGAGAAATCTGAAATATGTGAAAATGTCTAAAATAAACGGGCAAGCTTGTCTTGTTGGATGAGGAATGCAAAAGGCCTGGCATGTTCATTGATTGTGTTGGAGGGCTTTACTGGGATATATCTCAACAGACCATTACTGGAGAGGATCTTTTCTCTCTTGTTAGAAGTGGCACCTTGCACTGGTTTGAATGGAGTGCAGGCAGCTGATATATATTTATACAGAGAGTTGATTTTGTTTTTAACATGAACAAAAATATTATTCAAAGTGACAAAAAACAATAAAACCACCTTATTCAATATCTAGCATACAGATTTAAGACTAAAAAGTTTTTGAAACTAGCACCTCTGATTCTAAACAAGGAAAATGAAGAAATTTTAGCACACTGACTCCTTTGGGCCCTACCCCAGGCCTACAGCCCTTGGGGGTAAGGCTGGCTCAAAATTTTCAAAGTATCAAACTGTCAACTCAGGGTTATGATTCCAATCAAGTTATTTACATGTAATATTTGCCATTATAAACCATAATAAATTTTGCCCCCCCTCCTTCCCAATGAGGTAAACGTGAGACCCTAGGGTCATAAACCTTAAGACCCTTCCATCTATGAAGAGTGTTTGATTCTACCATATCTGGGTCTTGAGGAGAAGATTTTTGAAATTTCCTTCAATTCAACCCTTTTTTGCCCCTTTTGTGCACCCATCAGCCCCTGGGGGTCAGTCAGGGCTGATATGTGCATACCATCAAACTGCTACCTAATACTGATAATGCTATCCCAAATGAATTACTTCCAATGGAAATTTAACAAATATTGGTCCAAAATATGATTTCTCTATATAAACTATAGTCAAATTTACCCCCTCCCCATTTTTGAAATTTTAGCCAATTTGATCCTTTTTGGACTCGCCCCTCAGGCCCCTGGGGGCTGGGGACCAAATCGGCCACAATTTTTGTTGACCTTTGGCCATGGAAGGTTTCTGCAAAATTTCATTGAAATTGGTTCAGGGGTTTTGGAGAAGTAGTTGAAAATGTTAATCGTTTACGAACGCACGACGGACAACAGACAATGGATGCCGCCGGACAAAAGGCGATCGCAATAGGTCACTTGAGACTTTGTCTCAGGTGACCTAAAAAGCAGAAAAAAATGTTACTGCAGGTCTTGGCTTCAGACCAAATCTATACAATTATCACTGTGGAAAAAAGTGAACAGTTGCATGTGACGCTAGAACAAGTGTAAATCTGAGCACTTCTCCGTCACTTTCCAGTGTAAACCTGAGCACTTCTCCGTCACTTTCCAGTGTAAACCTGAGCGCTTCTCCGTCACTTTCCAGCCCAGTCTCTACAGCATTACCTTACCCAGCGGGATACTTACCCTGGGAAAACCCCAAACAACAATTTACATAAAAACGTTGAGAGATTATGATAGAAACAGGCGAGTGTCATTGATATGTTTAAAAGGTTTTCACACCGTGAGTGGAGTAGAGAACCGTGTGGAGAGAGTTAAGGTCACACAAACCTATTACTATTACACCTCCATGTCATGTAAGTCTGGGTTACATACACTAATACAGCAATATCAGCACACCAGGGCTGGTCTAGGATACTTCGGAGTGAGGATACCCCATACATACTGAAATAGACTGGCCCCTGTCTCTAGAATATTGAATCAATATTTAGAACAAAATAAACTCTTAATTACTTTGATTAGACAGGCTATCATCTCTTTAAGTTTTAATGAAGAACTTCCCAGGTGCATTTGGAAAGCTGTGATGGGTGCCTTTGGCACGGTATTTCAGTGAGATAGCACTATAAAGTCAGCATCAGATCATTGCTATCACAAGGAGGCAAGAACACCAACATACCCTGTCTCCTGCATACACACACACATGGAGGCATGTCCTTAAATGAACTTAGCTGTTAATAGGACGTTAAACGAAATAAAACCAAACCAAACCCAGGTGCATTTTACTACCATCTTATCCCCTCCTAGTTTAAAACATAGACATACGATTTAATTTTTGTTCTAAATATTTAATTCTAGAAAAGGGGGCCAGTCTACACTTTGATGTCTAAGTTCTCAATCTAGGGGAGATAACCTGGTAATAAAAATGAATCTCCCAAATTCTTCATAAAAACTTAGACTTCATAAAAAGCAGGTAGCCAGTCTTATCCAAGTGATCAAAATTATTAACTCATAACTGAAAAGTTGGATAAATTTTAGGGGTTTACAAATAACCCTACAGCTGAGGTAGATTTTAAGTCTGGACTTCAGAAAGTTTTCAAAATTTACTACAAATCATGTCAGGCTAGTTTTTCAAAATCTTCCTACAGTCAAGTATTCTTATAAAATGTAATTGTACATCTCTGAAGTTGTTGAAAAAAATTGTCTAAGAAACAAATAATTACATATAAGAGTACACAACTGTTCTGACTTTCATTATTTGACAGATATAAAAAGAATTATTTGTTTGTGATTTTTTGTCAACGATTCCTAAAAACAAATCTGAAGATAATAGGATTTCTCTGATTACACAGTCACATTGTTTGAGGTTTTACAAAAGTAAAATAGCTGAGGTCAGGAAAACATGTAAGGTCATATGATGACAGCTAAGGTCGTTTGATGACAGCTAAGGTCATGTGAACACTGCTTTCAATCCTGTTGTAACAATTTGGGAAATAATCAGTAAATTCAGTTATATCATCTGTTAAAAATATTTTTTGTTTCAGTATTTTTCAAGTTAACCAAGCTTTGTGTGTGTTGGTCCTGATGGCGTTGAGTGATATATGAATCCCCTGTTACATAAGAGGCTGCTGTCTGTGTGATTCTGTGATATTTGAATCTCTGAAATATTTTTACTACCTTCATATGTAAGCAGTATCCCTGGACACATGATGGGGTCGTTTCCATTTAGACCAGTCTACAGCGTTAGTTTATATACCTCACAAACACATGTTCAGGGACACAGGTGGGCCAAGCCTTGTTAGCTTAATATACCTCACAAACAGATGTTCACGGCGGCAGGTGGGCCGAGCCTTGTTAGCTTAATATACCTCACAAATATATGTTCACGGAGACAGGTGGGCTAAGCCTGGTTAGCTTCACAGGAGAAAAAAAATGGTGAAGTTTTAAAATTTAATTCTTTGAATATAACTGTAAAAAGATTACTTTCAGATTTAAATATGATTGGAGATGTTTTCAATGCCAGAACTTTGAAGTTTTTGTTTCCATTTCGTATAACTAAGAACAAGTCATAGACTAAAATCATATTGACATAATTTTTTAAGCTGTAAAATAATAAAACGTAGCTTTATACAACTGTATCATGCCTACACACAGACACATGATCTACTTCCAACATTTGGTGGTATTCTAAATATCCAGTAAACTGTGAAGTAGATTCTCCTGTAACT